TGCTGCACAGCAGCCCTCCTCCACAGCCTTAGGTCTCTTCCCAGATCCATTTCAGACCACAGCTGATAAGACTGGAAACAAATGACATTTCTATGGCCTTTGATGGGCTCTATATGGGTGATAGTGCCACTGCTGGCTAGTATGGCAATGGAGACCTGTGGTGTAAGGCAAGGTCCAAGCTAAAGGCTGTAGAGATCCAGCTGCAGTGCTGTTTTGCCAATTATTAGGCCTAGCATAAAGGACACAGCCAGCATAAAGATGAACCAATAACCAAATTGTATTTGATACAAAAGGGTCAGTACATGGGTGAGCACCAGGGGTACAAACAAGTCAGATTATACATAATCAACATCAACCCCACTGACCCCAATGACACCGCACAACCAACAATGGGTAGAATAAATTGTGAAATGCAGTCTCCCAGAGAAGGGATGGGAGAAAACTGAGTCAAGCCAAATACGTAAGACCAAGGAAGCCACATACTGAATCTCTACACAGCCCACATTTACAAAAGCCAGACCTGACTGGAGCCCAGGCAGGCAGGAGGTCCTTCCCCAACAGGGAACTCTGCAAAGTGCCTCCACCTCACAGACAGACACTGCCCCTTCCTGCAAGGGGTCCCAGCTTTTATCCCCAAGTGGGACACCTGACCTTTGGTTACTTAATGCAGAACACCTGGGGCTCATTTACCCAATGGCTCTCCCTGCAGGGCCGGCACCACCCTGGAGGGAAGCCTAAAGGCAAACTCACCCCCCCTTTGGGAAGGGCTGTGGGAATCACCCATATGTCAGCCTTGATTTGGGGCTGAAACCCCAGCATTTTAAGTACCTGCAGGAAAAGAACAGGTGGGACTGAGAATGGGTGCTTTGAGGAATCACCTTTGCTCTTGGGCAAAGCAGTTTTATGTGAGCAAAAAACTGACCAAGAAAAGTCTTGAAGGGAGATACAGGAGGTACAGTAAAACCCTGGTGAGAAAAAAAAATACATGACCTGTCATAAGACCCATCAGTAAATAACCCCTTTTGGGACTACTTCACCATTTGAAGTGACTTTACACCCGATCAGTATTTTGTATAACATAGCTGCAATATTTTGATGGGGTGCAAGGCATTCAGAAGTCAAGCTTAGTGCTTTGCCAGGCCATGACCTACAGCCCTTCAGCCCACAGCACTGTCACATCTGCTAGTACAGTCCAGGACCCAGGGACAGCAGAAGGACCCACAGCTCTACATCGCTGCTCTGTAAACCACTGTTAGATTTTCTTTCCTGTATTTCTACAATAAACTGCAAAGAATCGTTATAAAAAGGAATTATTAAATAAATAAAAGCTGGCAATGAACAGCCTCCTCTTCAGCAGGAAACTGTGTGTCATCGAGCTTCTCGCTTATGTCAGGGAAGAGAGGAGTGAAGGAGAGGTGATAATGACAGGGGCTGCCTCCAGGGAGGGAGGTGGAGACAGCATTGGAGGGGGTGGAGAGCTCAGATTGTGGCGAAGGGAGAAAAGGAATACAGTACAGTCAAAGGAATACGGTGGAAATAGATAAAGGTCAAGCAAAAGAAGAATTTATTAGAAGTGAAACAAAGCAGAACCATCAAAACCTTTGGGGCTATAAAAATGAGGAAAGAAGAAAAAGTATGAAAACATTCTCATCAGAACTCCTAAAATAGGCACATGTTAGCACACTCGGAGAGGAAAAAATCTAACAGGGAGGCTTCGATCTTGTCTGTCTCTCTCTCTCTAATCTAGCCAGCAGTGTTGCCCACGCTCCCATGCAACGTGACTATAATTATAAGCTGTGATCTATCAAAGCAGAACCTGGAAATTTTCATCTTATTGCACTGCAAACATATGGGGAAGACTGCAAAATTGTTAAAGCATTGACTCTTCTCATCTAACCACATTATTATTTAGCACCATGATTCTATACATAATGAGAGTGGCTGGGTTTCCAGTGAGTACGGCTTAATAGTATCACACAATGTAATGAACATGACCAACACCTCACTCAGGTTTACTGTCTCTTGGTGTCTAATGGAAGTTGCTTGCAGTTGCCTCCTCTTTAAATGATGATGCTACACAAGGCTCTCCAATTAACAAAAAGTCTTGAAGTGTAAGAGGCCTTTTTTCAGTTTTGTCACTTACTTGTGCTCAAGAGTCTGTTTCTCATTCTTTCCCCCACATGCTGATAAACTCCCTGCTGACAGACTGAAGGGGTTGAACTCAAACGAGCCCTGAAAATTTGTATTTCAGCTTTGGCATTTACTACATTGGCAATGGATGCCTCCCCCTACCACTCCATCAGAGCACCAGCCTCCTGCTGTAAAGGAGAATAAACTGAGGCAAAGATAGGATTGCCCTCAATCTAAGAACACTGAAGTATTGCATAAATGTGGTATTTGTCCTTGCTAGTGATGGGAAGTTATTGATACTTAGAGAGGCATCACAGCTAGAGGCATAATGGAGCTTGTTGAAGGCTGTGGGAAATACAGTCTATGGCCCCAGGCTTCAACACAGCTTTGAAAGACAGAGGACAGTTATTAGCTTTGAAGATCTTACAACTTGCCTCCAAGGAAAAGAGAGTCTTGTTTTGTGAGACAGGGACTTTGAAAATAAAAAAAACCCAAACCAAACCAAAATGAAACCTCTCAAACAAACAGCTCCCCCCCCCAAAAAAAAAAAAACAAACAAAACCAAAAAACAAAAAACCACCAAAACCAAACCCCACCTAGCTTTAAAGGATCTCTTCCTTGAAATATTAAAGTGCCTGTAAACCAAACATTGCCAGACCTACCATTCTCTGGGAAAGAGATACAGAATCTACTGAAAGGCTGTATCAGCCAGAAAAAAAAATGGTCAGGTGTGTGAAACCAGATTTAGGGGTTTCAGTCCCATTTTTATCCAGAAAGTTTTTATTAACATATTCTGCCTTTGAGATGTGCTTAGTTACGGATCATCTTGCTATTGTGCCTATAGCACAAAGACATGTAAGCTTTGAGCACAGGTCAGTTCGGCTGGCAAAACTGCTGTGATGAGCCGAGGGCAGAAGCCCATGCCAGCATGGAAGAACCATGGGGAGAAGCAAGGGCTGAGCAGAAGGTGCTTGCAGGGGTCATCAGAGGTAACTGGTTAGCTCAGGAACGGCCAAGAAAGGAAGAGCTATTCTTATGCCCATTCAATATTCACCAGTATCAGAAGAAAAGCCAAGACAGCTGGTGTCCTACGTGATGCTCGTTATTCACAAGTTTTACAAGCATATTTTCCATTCTACCATCCAAGGTTTTAAAGAGAGCATTGAACAGTATCACATTCATTGACAGATCTCTGCAGAACCCCACTCAGTACATCTCATCAGTTTGTGAACTACCGATAGCAGTTTTCCCCAAAAATTTTCATTCAGGCTACAGAAGTAGCATTTAGACTATGTTGGTACTATGACACAACATCACAGATCTTAATGAAGTCAAGATAAATGATATCTACCACCTCTCTTTTACATGTAAATTCCATACCCTTGAACAGAAAGACATCTGATTACAGCCCATATTGATTTTTACTTCTTACCCCTTTGCTCAATAATTTTGTTCCAGGATTGTTTTTAACCACGGGTCTGAAATTCCTTTTTTTTTTTTTTCTTTTCTTTAAATCATAATCTGAGTGTATACTTGAAAATGCAAATTCTCAAAGACAACTCCCAAAGTTGCCTAGGGTCTCTAGGTATGCCAGGAGGCCCAGTATTTTAACAACATCTAACTAATCTAAGCATTCCCCACCCCTTTCTTTCCCAGTTGCAGCTTGCACTCTGACAGATGGTTGCTAGCACTAGGGTTGAGTTTATCAGTGAGCGCTGATTCCATCAGGGCTGACACACCTGCCTTTTGAGCTGCTGCTCTGAGGACTCATCCCTGCTGAAGGGTGGATCAACTCGCTTCCTGGTTTTACCCTTCCTATGAACATACTCCTCTTTTCCTGTTACTTGTACAGCATTCATTACTGTTTCTTGTTTGATTGGCTGATCTTTTGACTCTGTATCTTGTGTTAGTAACACTTAGCAAACTGACCTAGGTTCCCTCTGTTTTAACACTGTTGAAGAGTTCATGGTTTAATTGTTGGGCTCCTGTCTCACTCCTTATTTTATTCCATTTTGGGGTAGTAGTAGAAAGAATAATGCCTTTATCACAGCTTCTTTAAGGAATTGCCTTTTTTGCTTTACACTACTTTCCATGAGCTCTGAGTTTTCATCTCTTACAGCTTCAGTTCTCTTGTGGCACTTCTGAAAATTAATGGGATGAATAGTACTTCTACTAAGTGAAACTTGACTCACTGCCTCTGGATGAGAAAAACAGGTTGGAAAACCAGTAAGAGTGAATAATCAGTTGTAAGGGATTTCTCCTCAGCAAGGTAGTTGGTTTACTTCATAAGACTTTCCTGTTTCTTGACAAACTATTAATGCCATGTAAATGACAGCAGCCAACTGAGGCTCCTCCCAGTCTCTCGGTTCCCTCCTGTGATTCTGAGTTGAAATACAGTTTCCCTAAACCAGTATTCAGCTGTTGTGGTACTAGTAAGAAATACGAACATTTGGTAATAGCCTGAGTATGGAACTATAAAAATATGAATCAAAATATGGAATAACCATCTGCTGGTTGGCTTATTCTTATTAAAAGGGACAAACAGCTAACTTTTATTTCTAAATGAATTAACATATAATAAGCTTAAGACAGTATCTTTGAAATCCTACAAAAATATTACAGACATTCCCCACCACACTATTTTAGAAATAAAGATGTAATTCTAAAGTGAGTATTTTCTGCCAAACAATAGCAGATTTCCACATAGAACTCTTGAACTCTTAAACCTTTGAAAAGGAGGGGAAAGAAAGAAAGAAAGAAAGAAAGAAAGAAAGAAAGAAAGAAAGAAAGAAAGAAAGAAAGAAAGAAAGAAAGAAAGAAAGAAAGAAAAGAAAGAAAAGAAAGAAAAGAAAGAAAACCCCACCCAATAATAAACCTTTTAAGATAACAACAGCAAAAAAACCCCAGCCTATCATAATACTATGACATAAAACACATCTTTTAAAACCAGTTATCAAAGAATAATGCACTTATCACTCAGACTGGAGGTGTGTATGAAAATCATACTCGAGTATTCTCCAGAAGAATATGTCTAGACATTGGAAATATAGTTTGTTGGCCTCTCTCATCAGCTGAAGCCTAAGTATGATACACCTGTCATCAGACATGGCAGCAAACATTAGCCTGTGTGATTCATTGCTGGTTTTGCTATAATTCAGTTAATGATGACCATATATATTTTAATCATCTCATTGAATTCAGTTTAATTCATTCATATTATGTCAAGGAACTGTAACAATTATATTGCAAGAAGAGAGAGAGACAGAGATGGCAGAGGAAAGTTTCCAGGCAGCAAATTTTGGAATTAACTTCTTGTTCCTTATTCATTATTAATACAAGTAATTTTAGAACAAAACATAGGATGAACTTTTATTATTAGTTGCTCATTACAGCTTGCTAGGGTTGTGTCCATTTTTAAACATTTTATATTTTTCTGGTTAATTAAAAATTTAAAAATTTAAAAATAGATGGGCTAAATGTGACAAGATAACTGAACCCCTCACAGTTTTAGCAGTTTACTGAAGGGAAAAGAACCTGAATGAGTGAAGTTTCCTTCAGTTGTAAATGTAGGCCTTTATTTAGATATTAAATTTAGTCAATGATAATAAAAGTAGAAGATCAACTGGACAGAATAAGTAGATGAATGGCATAGCTGGAAAACAATGGTGTTTTTTTTAAACAAGCATCTTGCAGGTAAGGTATAGTTGTAATGAGACACCCTGAAGCTGGTCTGCAGACTGGATATCAACACATAACCACTGAACAGAAATCTCTCCATCTGACAGAGTCAGAAATCTAGGGAGGAAGCCTCCATCATAGGCAGAACAAACAGCAAATTATGAATGAGGAAAAAACCCCTCAGCATAAATCATATCAGTGGTGAAGTGAATAGAGATAAGAGGGCTTTTTAATTCAGACAGCTGGAAAATCTGGAGAAACCTCTGAACAATAACAAGCCCATGGGGAAAGGAGGGACAGGAGACCAGGGAAGTGAGTTTAAGAGACACTGATTTTCAGATGCATCATTAGGTCTTAGAAATTTTTACTGGCTAAAGAGCTCTTGAACAATATCCTGTGACACAAAGGAAAGATTAGGAAGTCATTCATGGCTTTATTTTACAAAAAAACAGTTGAGGTGCATCCACTTTTGCCATATTGCTGTGAAGTTTAGCACCTGAGAAAATCAGATAACCGAGTTCAGAGTTGAATGTGAAAAACAAACCTTCACTGAAATAGGCAGTATTACTCATTTCCTATGAAAGTCTTCTTTAAATATAAGGGAATTAATGTTACAGAAGATTGTCTGTGTTGATTTGTAGTTGACCTTTTTTTGCTCCCTTTTGCTGCTCATTCTGATGCTGGCCTGTGCTCTACCAGTGTTCTGAGTCTCACCTGCCAATTTTTTTTTTTTTCCACTTCTGAAGCTCTCCTTCCTCACCTTCCAAGCATAATACATCCTCTTAATTTTCACAAAGCTAGTGTGTTGTCTGCATTCAAGCCTCTCATGTCAGAATCTATTTAACACCTATGCAAAAAAATATTTTACAATAAATAGTTCTACTAACAGACAGGTGTCATTGTTCCCCAGAAGCCAATTAAAGCATGAAGATAATGTCAATATGTATTGAGCCCCATTTTCATTAGTATAATCCATGTTATACTTCTGTGAGACTGAAATAAAAACTTTGCAGTTAGAATTTACACCTGCACTCCAGTCACACAAATTTAATCCTCATAAACTCTGATCTAAAGTACTGTTAAGAGGGGAATCTTTAGAAAGAAACCTAAAAATGTTTAGCATAGTTGATATACACTTACTCTGGATGGACATTTGACCTACTCATTTCTTTGCCCTGCCTGCCTCCTTCCCTCCTCCTCTGGCTCCCAGCCCCTAGGAACAGTAAAGTTGCACCCAGAGAATGCTGTTATAATAATTACTGACTGCCCTGTCCTCAAAGGAGCGAAGTAATTTGTGTGCAGTGCTGCTACCTTGATTCAGATCAAGGAAGCTCAGTGCCTTCCCATCAAACATTTTGCTATTTCAAATGTTTAAGTAATGACTGCACGCATATGAAATCCTAAAAACACTACACCAGATTTGCAGTAAGTTGGCAGGAATAATAATACATATTGTAGCTTGTACTCTTTTAATATTTAGCAGGCATACAACATGTGTGCAATATAGTACAAAATCCGCCATCCTAGCACAAATAACAACAGAGTGAAAAAAAAGTAAAAGTTTTGCAAGAGCTACTTTCTCCTGAACTCAAGTACTCCATCATGGGCTTGACCTAAATTGTGAAGCTAATGGAGAGGATTCTGGACACTCTCCAGAATCTTCAGATAAATTAAATATGAACATGAATAGTGCCCAGGGGCCCTGCATTCTCTGGGATGCCACAGGCATGGGACTCGCAGAGAATCCACCCTTGCTGCAGAACCGTGTTTCCAGATTTTAATTAACTGAGTTTCCTCTGTTAAGCTTTTCCTGTGAAAGCCTCCCACAGCAAAAACACATCTTAAAAGCATTATGCCTCGGCAGATGAAAATAAATCTAGCTGTTGAATTTTCAAAAACTTTATTTGAAAGAACATATTTTCAAGGACTAAGATCACTCATTCCAGATACATGGTTCATGAACTCAAAACCATCACGTCCAAGTACTGCATGTTCTCATCTTTCCTAACTGCCATATGCTACTAAGTCATTTCATTTTATATGCAGCCTCATGGCTCCAGGCTTCATGGGCAGATGGCTCTTTGCCACCTAATCAAATTCACACATCAAGGGCATCCCAAGTGAGGTCCTTTGTAGAACTGTATCCTCCTTTAGTTCCTCTCTCTTTCCTAAACATTTGCACATCAGCACAAACTTGTACTACCAAAAGGTTCATAATTTTCAGATATAAGACACTCATTCTTCAATTAAGCACAACATAGTACAAGCAGTTCTATCCCATTCACTCTAAAAATACAATTCAGTGCCTTGGAATTTCACAGCATACCCACACAGTCCTTAATATCCCTTTTGCTTCTATTTTCGGTCTTTCCTTCTTCCATAGCTGCATCTGTTCATTGGGCAGAATGTGTCTATGTCCTCTGCCACCACATACGAAGTTATAATAATGCATCTTAACCCCTGCAACCAAGTGACAGTTCTTGCGCTACTGCACCAAGCTTGATGCAGTATCTAGATTTGGATGCCTTCTAATTTTCTTTAACTGCATATTGATAAAAATGAATTTTCATGGATCAGCTCATCTTAACATAGGCTTGTGGCTGTTGCCTTTGATGGATTCATAATCTCAGAGTTGCATTTGATTCTCTGGAGCATCCTATTAGTAAGACAGGAAAGTTCTCATATTAATAACTGTGGTACTTCTTCAAGCCACAGTGACCTACATTGCCTCACTGGGTTGGTTAGATTTTTCAAATAGGCTTTTATCACATTTTATTGCCACAATTTCTGTAACTCTTTACTCTCTGTGTTACTGATCACATCTATTAAATACTTGTATAAGCACACATGTTGTGTAACTGAATGCACAGCAGGGTCAGGCACTGATGAAACATTATTTCACAAACGTGTACATTTTTTCAACTTAAAATATATTGCTTTCTTTTACATACAGAATCTCCTCCTCTTATCCCTTCTAGGATACGTTTTACAGACCCAGGATGGACACAAGAAACAAGGTCATCTACATAGAGAGTGACTAAACCCTCCACTTGTACCTTTTCCTCTAAAGAAGGAACAGTATAGTAATTTTTAATACTGCCATTAACAGCTACAGAAAAAACTCACCCTGTTAAGATAAACAAAGTTGTTTAGTATGAACATTTTAAGGACACCTAAACCCAGTTTTGTAATCTATATTAAAAATAAGCGATCAGCTATCCAATACCATTTATTTTAAGATAACATATCTGGAAGAGTGTTACTTGAAATATTTTTATAGATGAGCAATGGTGGAATTGTGATGGTACATACCATATTGATACTGCAGAGGCCAAATAGAACAGAAAACAGAAATGAAGAGGTCTCTATACTAGTTACTTCCAAATGTTCATAGTAGCACTTAATAAATCCCATTTTTCAATATCATGTCTTACATCTAGCTTTTCTAAGCAATTTAATGTTATGTACCTCAAAAGGCTACAGCCAAACAGCACGCACAGCTCACCTTCTCATGCTACAGTAAGTCATCTCTGAAGATCAAAAAAGGGCTATCCCAGAGAATACAGTGACCCAGAAGCCAAAGATAAACTGTTTACAATTTGTTCCAGACATCACCTATTTAGTTGCACAGAGTTCCTTATATTTACAGCCCCTTCTATCGCTCTGCTGAGAGTAGTAACCTGAATATGCCAACATAGTGGGAGCCTGCTAAACATGGACTAAATTTACTCCAATATCTTACAGCTGCAATGGTTTAACAAGTGCTGCACAAGCACAGTGAATAATCCCATTTATAATCAGTTAAGGTAATCATCCTTATCCTCCTTCAATAGACCCTTCTTCCCCAAGGACAGATAACTCATCTTGAGACACTACTCAGTTATCCATTTCAATAGACAAGAGGTCTCATGTCCCAGAAAGCACTACCTTGATAACTTTCAAGCTGTTTTGAAAATATGACAGACAAAATCTAGTAAATGGATGTTTAAAGAAAGATCCAAGTTTTTGACATTATTTAAAAAAAACCCAAAACAAATCTGTCTGCCACAATGTCATTTTCACTATGATCAGAGCCACGTTATTTATACTCTAAAACTAGTATTTGGCTTGCTAGCCTAAGCTAGGTCCTCAAAGTACTAAAAATACCCTGCAAACCAACACAAAAAACCCCCACCCACAAACCCCTGTGGTTTTTGTAACAAAACCAGGAAGATGTTCTACAAGGCATTTTTTAATTCTTGTTTCTTTTGATAACATGCCTACATCACCTCATCTATCTGGTCCAGAGCCATGCAGCCACCAAAGCTGTTTTCTGCATCGTGAGATGGTGCTTTAAGATACCAAACTCTGACAGAAGCACCACTCTGTTGCTCAAGCTTTGAAAACTAATTGCACCCTATTGGCCTGATCTAAATTAGGAGCCTAGTTAACGCTCCACTTAGTGCTGATTGGGCTCGGATGGAAACCTGAAGCCATGCTGCTTGGAGTTAGGTGACAAGTTTTCAGCTTTTTCCAGAATGAGGCAGCTGCATCAGGGGGTGCTGCAGACAACAATTTTGGATTTAAGCAAGCAGAACAGGTACTCATGATATCTAATTTAATGGTTATCTAATGCTAGTGTTCTGAATTTCTCACTTCAAGGTGCTTCATTATCTTGCCAACAAAGAATAGAAACTTAAAACGATTCAGGAGACCAAAGTGCAAAAATCCAACTCCTTCAGAGTCCCTCTAGGTCCTATTTTAGCCACTAGAAGCTTTCTTCCTTAGCCTAACTCTATGGCAGAAGCTATTAAGCACTGCTAATCAATAGAAGTTCAGAGTTAAGAAACCTGCTAAAGGAAGGTGATTTAAGGTAAGGAATTCTAGATTCCAATTCTGCGCAAAAGCAGGCTCGTTTTTATCTGTTTCTTTTCCAGTATCACCTGCCTCAAGTGATAATGTTTGGAACAAAAGATCATGGAGGAACACCACTGGGTGAGTTGTAGTAGTCTGGACTGAGGTACTGCTTCATGCCAACAAAAGCAAATCCTACAGGGAAAGCAGCGAGGCAGAAGCAGTGGAGTAGAAAGATATATCCACACGCTTCAGCTACTGGAACTCTTGGAAAAGTACTGTATTGGGTCTGACAAGACACCAGTAGCAAATATGAAACAGTAAAGTATAAGAATAAAACATTCCTAGACTGTTAATATTTGAATATCTTACAGTTAGGGGTAGTCAGTAATTTAGGATATTTCTGAGTGGACACTGTATTTAAACTAACGTTTTTAAATATCACATTTCACATATAAGTCTAATCCTTTTGATCCTATGACCCTGATAAAAGTTTCATAGCAGTGAGTTCCACTACTACATTACACAGTGTAATGAAATGTTTGAAACTTGCTGCATGATCACTTCATTGAATTCTTAATTTTTATAAGCTATCAAACATTCCCAAATCAGTGTTATGGACAAAGTCAAACTGGTCCTCTGTCACATTTATTTATTTATTTATTTTTAACAAGCACCAAAAATAGTATTGGAGAAGACAACAAAATCCCTTTGTTTCCATGGAAGTGGCAACAGAAGACCCCAAAATAACCTTCTGAAAGAGATTGCTTAATGTTAGCTTAGAGAGTGTGTGTGTGTGTGTCTTTGCTTTGCACCCAGTTATATATTTGAATGTAAACTGGTATTAATTAAGAATACATAGTAGTGTATTTGGATTTACATTTTTTATATTTGGAAGAAAAGCAAGTCCTGATGAGCAATAAGAAGAGCTTAAAATAAGAGACAGAGGCCAGCTGGTCTCTTCTTCCAAGTGTGAAAGTGTGAATAAGTTTTATATTGTGCCTCCTAAAAGTGAAAAGTTTGAGGACACAAAGCGACCAATACAAAAGGGTTATCACCATGTGTCTGTGGTTTTGGGAGTGATCACTGCTGCAGGGCTTTTACTGTTCTACTAATGTGTCTATGAGGCTGTTTAGGCAAACAGGATTAGGACCCTACAGAGATTTAAGGATGGAGACCCTAATTTAAAAAATCTGAACGGCTTTAAGTGCAAAACAGGTGACAACACACTTTGCTTAGAGACAATGACAGTTCCAAGTATACATGAAAGCTGATTTTTAAGCATGTAGGAAACTTCATGCCTTTTGGATTTTGCCAGCAGGTTCAGGTGCCTGAGAACACAGGACGGTGATCCGTGTTAGATACAAATTTATTTAAAACACTCTGCATAACTGTAATTACCATGTTAGGCACCCATACTGCAGTCAGGAGAAATAGTGCAGTAGAAGCCTTTATCACAGCAAGAGATTTTCAGTATCATATTAGAGCATATTAAAACATATGCACATTCCCATTTTTAAAAAATACGACCATTCTCATTTTCAATGCAAATGCAACAGAACTATCACTCTTGAAGTTACTAAAACTGTTTATAAGACAGAAGATCAGCATCTTAATATCCTTTTGGAAAACAGACAGATGTATTGTTTAGTCAAAAAATATTTCACAGACCAAGCTGATGTGACAGTAATTTATTATATTACTGCATGAAGACTTAAAAGACTAGTACAATGCTCAAGGCTGAAATTCAACCCTATGCAAAGGAACTAGTGCAAGATTCACATACTACTAAAGCACTGCTTCCAAACAGGCAACAAACAGACCAATATATAAAGCATCAGTGGTGCTAATCCTAAGAGGAATTCCTCTTCAGAAAAAAAAATCTTGGGAAATTCTCTTATGGAAAATTTCACTCCCAAGGGTTGGGTCTACATACTAACTGCAAAAAGCACTCTTCCAGATGTTTTTCTGGATTTAAGTATAGAAACGCATCATTTTGTTGCCTTGAAAGATTAAGTTTTGGAGAGAGATATCAAAAGATGGGAGGTTCGGGGGGCAGGGTAAAACTACAACATGATTTTCAGTGTCTTCAACACCAAGCAAACCTGTATTACAGATAACTTTATAGCACTTTACAAAATGTACACTATATACATTACATATGCATATATACCAGTATTACTTCAATCACTCAGTTCTTCCTCATCACTGAAATAAGCACTTTTCTTAATCCGTGGACGTTTTGAATCATCTGAAATGGAAGATTCCCCTGCAGTCTGTGTCCATCTTTGTTGTTCTTCCTCAATTTTGGCTTGCTACAATGAAACAAGGAAAAGTATTAACTGAGATTAAGAAAAATTAAGATGCATTATAAATAATAATGCTAATTATTAATATGCATTGAATTATTTAGTAAGTTCAAGAATTGAAAAGGTTTATCTCCATTTCCAGATAAACTGTGTGATGAGTAAACAAGAAAACATTTCTTAACGTAGTTCTCACATGCAAACAGTAAATCTTCTGCACCAATGCAGGCCACATGGAATACCCTCTATTTTCAAAGAGAAACTTTGCCCATGGTAAGCTTACAGATCTGAAGCCAAGAATGCATTGCATTTCAAACCAACATTATTGAATCAGCTTTGTTTCACTAGCAAGTCTTCTATTGGTTGTCTTCTTCAGTCATTCATTCAGGGAATTAACATCTTCAGGGGCACAAAGGTTATTCTACTAAAGATTTAAATAGATGCTTCTTATTTTTACTGGGAAATATGCTATCCCAGTTAAAATCTTTGGATGGTGAAAGAAATGGGAATGTTTCCTGGCCTGTTTACATTTATAGGTTTTTCTTCTAATCACAGAGTTTTCTGGGGTGGGTGGGGATAACTGTGCATATTTGCATCATTTTTGGACTACATCATGTAAAAACTCTTAAAGGTTTTTCTAGGGGAGATGGGGGCACACAGGGGACAGCTGAGGACTAGGGAGCCAAGAAATATGAACATCAGGTCAGGCTTGCTCCATGTAGTGAAGCAAAAGCCTGTAAAGAAGTATTGAAGAAGATAGTAATACAGCTGTCAGACTATTTAGCTACATAACAAAAAATGCATTAAATATGTTTTAAGAGAAAGAGGTCTATTAGAGACCACAATGCTCTCTAATTAGGCAAAGACACTGCTCCAGAAATAGATGTTGTTCAAGGATATTCTAGTGAGTGAGGGCAGAGGATGTACCTGGTCATTTATAAATGACTGTTCTTCTGGTTGCTCAGTTAACAGAGTAAAAGAGGGATTTGTGGACCAAAAACCTAATAGAGCATCACAGCAGAGATGACAGGAAACTAAGCAGCAAAGGAGCTTGAAAGAAGAAAAAATTGTAAGGCACAGATAGCAACAGTGAAACAGTTAAAAAAAAAAAAAAAAAAAAAAAAAAAAAAGACAGAAAGAACTGAAAATGCCTACAATATGAAGAAACCAACTATCATCACCAGCTACTGCCTGGCAAGAGTGCCCTGAGTGCTACAGAGTGGACAGACCTACAGATGTATCTCAAGAGCTTTTGAAAACCAGTTAAAAAAGGAGGTAGCGTTGCATTTAAATGATAATAAATATGCAATGCTCTTCAAATTTGTACCTGAAAAGCTATGGCTTGGCTGAGGCTATCCAGAGCAGGGTCTTCTCCTTCCTCTTCGCTTTCTTCTTCCTCTTCACTTCATTGTGCAGAGAGAGAGAAAAGTATATAGGTCTTTTAAGTGTTTAGTATGAAAAAGCTTCCTAAAAGTAGTAGTAACATGTAAATAAATATACATACATTTCTTCTGGCTCAACTACTTTCTTTCTCTTCTTCTTTTCTTTTTTCTTTGGCGGCTCCCGCTCTCCTAACATATTTTTAGGACAAGCATAACTTAAGTGTCCTGCTTCCTTGGAGAAAAAGAAATATTGCTTAACAGAAACCATTACAAACAACTATATGTTAAAACATACTATGAGGACAGTTAATGTAAGACAGTTCACAGTGAAAAGAATGGAAGCAATTAGTAAGATACACAGAACACTGAATTAGCACACAGAAGACAAACTCTCCTCTATAAGCTTGACATGGAAACGAAGAGATTGGTGGTAATATATATGTTTAACTACAAATTGAGAACAAGCTATGAGCAAAGTAGATTTTCTTCGACTGCTGCGATAGCTGAATACACTACAGCATGTTTAAGACAAGATATAAACCTCAGCATTAACAGTTTAAGAAACAGGAGTGGGTCAACATTTTTGCTCTAAGAAGTGTTATGAATATAAATCAAGTTTGTACTTGACATAAAATACTATCCAAATCTTAATCTCCTATGTTATTATGCTTGGGACAAGTGAGGAATTGCCTAAAACTTAAAAACACACTTCTGTGTAAATATATTTGTTTCCAATATTTATTTTACTGCCAACTGTATCATGAACTTCTAAAGATATAGCAAAAGCAAGTATTCTGAAGCAGAGATTAGGAGGTTTACCTTCTCAAATAGCATTATACTGATACTCAGATCTGTCTGCCCATCATCACACTAAGCAGCCATTATATGTATGTATTTTCCCCCATCCCCAAATAAAAGTCAAAGGGGTATTATCATTCTTGGAAAACAGTACAACTGCTACACAAGTTGATAATAACAACAGAAAAAAAATAATTTGACAGCATGGGCAGGATTAGCAATGGTCAAACGGAAGAAACAAGCTAAGAGTCTGTGCTGGTTTTGGCTGGGGTAGAGTTAATTTTCTTCACAGTAGCTAGTGTGGGTGCTATGGTTTGGATTTGTGCTGGAAACAGTGTTGATAACACAGAGATGGTTTTGTTCCTGCCTAGAAGTGCTTACATTGAGTCAGGGTATTTTCTGCTTCTCACCCCACCCCACCAGCAAGCAGGCTCGGGGTGCACAAGGAGTTGGGAGGGGACACAGCCAGGACAGCTGACCCCAACTGACGGAAGGGATATTCCATACTGTGTGGTGTCATGCTCGTCAATAAAACTAGGAGGAAGGTTGGCCCAGGGAGCTGCTGCTTGAGGATTGGCCATTTAAAATTTATTATTATTACTACTTTATTTCAATTATTAAACTGTTGTTATCTCAACCCATGAATTTTCTCTCTTTACCCTTCCAATTCTCTTCCCTCCCATCCTGCTGTGGGAAAAAGTAAGTGAGCAGCTGTGTGGTGCTTAGTTGCCAGCTGGGGTTAAAACATGACACAGTCAAAAGATGGAATATATTAGTTCATTTCTGGTTTTACTTACCCCACATTCGTAACACTTAGACTTATCAAAGTAATTACGCCTGCGAATGAATTCTGCTGCTCTTCCATTATCAATGGCAATACTTGCTTTTATTACTCTTCCAAATAACTACAGCAAATTAGGAAAAAAAGGTAAATATTTTGGAACTGTAAACCCAACCCTCCTGCCATCACAACTTTCCACAATTTACCTGTTTGTTATTAAGTGCCCGAGAACAGTTTTGTGCAGATTCTTTATCCAAAAACAAAATAAAGGCAACTCCTTTGCTCTTCCTGGTGTCTTTGTCTTTCATAATAGTAACTCTGAAAACATATAACCACGTTATTGATACACTAAAATAACTTCATTTTTTCCTTAAAGCTCTCAGTAGGGTCTTAGCTTGGTTATATAGCAAAAAAGTATATTTAACAATAGAATGGCTCACTAAACAGAAATTCAAAGGAACAGCTAATCTGGCCACATGCTTACAGGCAGAGTGGAGATGATTTAAAAAAAAGTATGTGGGGGTCTTCCTGGGTCTTGTATCACTCTTTATTCCCTTTATTCCTAGAGAACATACTCTTTAGATTTGCAGACAACTTAACTGGAGGGAACTACACATACTGTAGGTGAAATTAAAATTCAGGAGTAATCATGATCATTGCTGGCGCTGCTGAAAAACACAGTGCATTGAACTGCATCCAAACTGAGAAATCTAGGTCCATGTACTAGCTAAACAAATTAATGACAGGAAACAGTAAGTATATGCAGTATTGTTCCACAAATATCTCCAACTGGAATCCAAGTAGGTCATGGATGCATGTGTTATTTTACATCACATACAAACTTAAATCTTCAGTCTAACATTAGAATCAACAGCTCCAGTAGCACCTCAAGAAATTCCAAAAAAGATTTAGACCCAGTAAAAACAACAAAGAAGAAGAATGACAAGAGGTGAAGAGGGAGGGAATCTGTAAAACCTCAATTCTTTTAATTTTAATGTCAATTGTATTTAGCCCTAAAAAAACCAGTGGGAAACAGGATGCCAGTCTGCATGTACATGAAAGTTTATGTTACAAAGTAGGGAATAAACTCCTCCCTGTGACCCCCACAGGCAGAACAAGGTTGCCATAAGACAAGACAAAATTTTAAGAATTAAAAAAAAAAAACAAAAAAAAAACAGACCTCAAACCAAACCAACCCTACTTCAGTGCAGGAGGTCTACCTGTATAACAGATGACCTACATAGTAGAAGTGTATAAAAAAAAAAAAGATCAGTAAAGAAAACTCAATTTCCCCCAAACACACACACAGAAAGACAGAGCTTAGAACAGTTTTTCTACCAAAGCCTCTTGGACAAGGATGTGTCCAATTGAACACATAGACCTGAAGTGTCAATAAAACTGACTTTAGAACAGTTCTATTAATTCTTTTCCTAAGTTACTCTTGAAAGAGTTCCAATAGAACCCTAACATAACTGTCAGGCTTCTAATTGGGATATTGAATGTACTGGATGATAACACAAGCATAAAATGAAACAAGTGATAAATATTTAAAAGTCAGCAACTTCTTGGAGTCCTAGAAAGTCTGATTTCTCACTGAACAAACTGAGATGAAATCAGAATTGTCAGGATATACTGGGATAAGAAATGCAGTACAGAAGAAAAGTCAGCATGATTTTGCCAAGTCACAACACACTTCCAAAAAAAAAAATCTGTTAAAGCTGACTTTCAGATGGCATTGCAAAGCTTTCTGCAAAGGGTTCTAAAGTCTCTGAACAAAGACTCTACAGAAATCAAGCTAATATCTGAAAATCTTTTTCCTGGGAGTTAATGACTATTTATAAATAAGAAAACTGATCCGTGTTGGCCTCAGTTTAACAGTGAAATGGGAATATCAGTAGAATCCTACAGTATCTGCACTGTTTATAGTCAGGTCAGCTTGCAAAGGGACAAACAGGAAACAAATTTTGCTAGATACAAAAAAAAAGTCACAATACTATTTTACACATGGCATTCTGTGACTCTGCATTTCGTTTAACTTATGGCAGTGACTAGACAAAATGTCAGGAAAACTTAGGAATCAATACATGAATTTTTTTGCAAAACAATATATAGGTGGGGGAAACAGTAATCGTGCAAGTTCTAAATTAGGTAGTTTCACACAGGATTCGCACAGGATTTTTTCTGCATAGGCATCTGAAAACACCATTTCTGTTGTCTATGACAGTTTGAAAAAACTCAAATAAAATATTAGAAATTATTAAAAAAGGAAAAAAAGAGAGAATGCTGCTTTGACATATTTAAAATAAGCAATGTATCATACAGCCAACACTTCATACAATTCTCATCCTCCTATCAAAGCAAGTTCAAAAGCCAAGACAGCAGAAGACCCCTACCCCCAAAGACAGAGTATATTACCAAATTATAGCAGGGAGGTCAGAAGTGCCAAATTTATGGAGAACAGGTCCCTCATTGGATAAACATTAGCATTACTATAACCTTTGCTCAGGATTTCTTCTAAATTGGTAGTTCAGCCAACAGCTAAAATAGGTCAGACACCCGAACCTGGTAAAAACAGACTGTAGGTGCCCAGTTGGATTGGTCACTGCATGTCTGCCATAACCTACATAGGGTTTTTCTCTCAGTCAATTTAAAAAATATTTTTTTCTAAAGTTGTAGTTTGGCTTTTCAGGATATTTGTCACCTGAAGCACATTCCTAAGACTTCAAAAACTTTGAATTTAGCTCACAGATTATTACAGCAGCTACTAGAAGTTAGAGCAGGTATTTGCCAGTGTAGGATTAAAAACTGAAGTATTGAGTCTTGTTATTCTGATCAGTTAAAAAAAATAAAGAAACCAAACAAATCAGCAAGTGCCTTACTGTCGCATTTATTTCTATCATTTGAACACAGAGGCAGGTACTCACAAGTATTGTTCATGAATACCCCAAATATTAAAAGCCATTACTATGCAGTCATACATCTAATCTTAAATGTAATACTAAGCAGTCACAATAACAAGCCCCTCTAGAACCACAAATACAGGAATTGTACACTGCAATTGTGGGAACTGTTTGTGGGAATTGTGACATCTAGTTCACGTAAGTAGAAGCTACCACTTTTACACTTATCCACTTGTGTCCCAGGCAGTGTTCAGGAAAAGGGGAACAACACTTACTAGAAGAATGTTGTTCCAACTATTTCATGGAGAAGACCACTGGCATATAACAACATTCTACTTGCTCTTATAAAGGGGTTAACAAAACCTGTCCCCTACTCAAATATTGTTACATCATGTGCATAACTGCAAGAACTTCCAGTTGTTAAATTAAATCTATACTTTATTAATAGTGAACAGAACTTCAATACAGTTCCACATTCATACTTAAATTATAACAAGCACAAGATTTTCAAGTGAAGCAAAGACATTAAATATTTAAAATGAAAGCTACAAAAATAGCAGGCTATATCAGGTCACTTACTTGACAACTTTCCCATACTTTGAAAATATCTGAAATATAAAACAAAATAAAAAGATTTAAAAATAGATAATTGCATTTCTTTAGTAATAAATTTATCAATGCAAACTTTTGTATGTAAAAGATACGTATCAGTATCATATTTACACTCAAATTGTCGTCAGTAAGTTTAACCTGAATAATGCAACGCTCAAAAACTTACCCTGTACAGATCGTTGTTTGTCAAAGCAAAAGGTAAATTGGACACATACACTGTGCTTTTGCTTGGTGCCAACCCACCACTCATTTTTCTGATGAAAGGAAAAAGAGAGAAGAGTTAAACTGTATTCAACAGATAAATCAATTTAAAAACAGTTGCAAGACTTTTTTAAAGTTGCTTTTCAAACCTAGCCCAGAGGGTCATGATAAAGTTGCAGGAAAGCATAGATTTCATTTCCTTTTTATCATTTTACATGAAATTAGTGCTTGCCTTCAAGTTTTACAGAAGACATACATTCCTTCCTCCTCCCCTGTATCCAAAGTGTATTTTTGCTGTGTCTGAGTCAATTTGTAAGTCACAAAAAAACAGACCAGTTAGTGTTCTTAAAATAAACCTCAACTGATTTGTGCAGTAACAAAAGGTTTAGGTTTAGGAAGAAACAAGTAATGTCCACTTATTACACATTATGGCCAAGATGTGAAATTACTGACCTTTGTTCAAGTACCTGCATGCTCTGATTCTTTATACAAGTTTCAGTTCAGATGTGTTCAACATAGACCGAACCACAATCAGGTAAGGAGAAAAAAAACCCACTTCCCTAAAGCAGAGTCCTAATGACTGGGGGGAGTGAGGTGGGATACTACGTTGATTTTAAAATGTACCTAAGATGCTAAACCAGCAAGCATCTCCTCTTGCACCTATTGCTTAGGCTTCTACACTGCTCTGGAACTGCAAATGTCCAGAGATGATCACAGACAGCAACTCCCCTAGAGGTACTCCCCCTCCTCCTCCTGATTAAGCAGCACTATATTGGCAGGAACCCGGGAACTCTCAAAAGCTGTTTTAATTGCCAATCTCTTTTAAGCTCTTGAAACTAAGTATGTCTGGAAATAATGAATCAATTCAGAAAGACTGTTACAACTGCATACACATCCTCTAATACTAGGTCAAGAGTAACTGTACTAACTTGAAAAAGAACAGCCTATGTTTTTCCTCATGTTTGGACATTTCCCAGAATTTTAAGTGGTGCTAAAGTCTGTGCAAAACACTTCTTCCCTTTGATCTATTCAGTAACCATTGCTCAGTTCAAGAGCTAAGTAAAATTTAAGTTCAGAATAAAGCACAGCCCTTATGAGAGAACACACCGAATAGTACAGCAAACCCATTTCCTACACAAGCCAATTACTACCTCCTTAATCAGTTTCCTGCAGCCTTATTCCTGTTCCTTGGCCCCTCCAGCTGATTCCTAACTGAGGACCAAGCCATTCCTTCAGCAAGACCAACTCGTTTTAAAAATGCAGACAAAAGCTGATGAAGGGATAAAAGAAACTAAAGTATTAAAAATCAACGTCCACCATAATACAGTTTCTTAGGGGACTTTTTGGGTAGTGAGTCTGAGCAGATTGCTTGGACAAGTGCCAACAAAGTAACTAATACCAAACTCTAATCCAGCTGTTGTTATTTTCTTGCATTTCATGATTTACTCATCTGAAGACCTGATATTCCCAGTAGACACTGATTATCCAAGTGTTTTGCTTCTCTTTCCTGACATGCTTACTGTATCACAATTTGTCTCAATGGTAGTTTCCAAGTGATTGAATTTTGAGGTTTTTCATGTTCAGTGACTGTTTTTTGGCATGAGCAGAAATGGCAACATAAAGGTTAAGCAAATGAAAACAGAATAAATTTGCAATAAAGGCCACATGTTGCATCTGGTGTTACGCAGACTGGATTCATTATCCCAGATTCCTTGCTGCTTGGCATTAGTATCCTTGACAAGCCTAACCAGACTCACTTGGCAACATGCCACACAAATAGATGGCCCGAAGTGCAGTTATCCAGATGTACAGTGGATACAAAGGATTCCATAAGAGCTACCTCAGTGCTGCATTATGGTATGTTGCCAATGCTAATATATTGCAACAGCGGAGGATAAAACAGCAGAGGTGAACCTCATGTGGCTGCAGATAGCAATTTAACTGCCTAAAGGACAAGAAAAGCTAGAACACAATGTAACAGGAGACCAAGATGACCTCATATTAATGAACAGATGCCAGCAAGGATGGCATGACTGGAGAGCACTCAACTTGCATATTATGCAAGACTGGAGTGCAAACCTCCAAAGAGAAGGTGATAAGTCATGTGAAGATTATTGCAGGCCTAATAGCTCAGTCAATAGAAAATTAGCAATGACTGCAAGCTACAGAACTTCCATTTTCAGCTGTATACTACTTTTCCCAGAAGCAAGGTGAACAAGTTGTACCTTGGAGCGTTGGATTCCAGACAGCTGAGGCTGATCTTTGTTTCTAGTCCTCTGGAAAAATTTAAGAGAAACAGTCTTCCTGCTCCAACTGGCCAAATATTCTTAGCAATTTTTATTATTTCAGACTATTATGCGAGGATTTCTTACTTTTAATATCTGACTTACCAGACAGGCACAGTTTTAAGAGGAACTACAGTAACTGTAAGGCTATTGCCATGCTCACGTTCAAGATGACAAAGGTTCAAATTTGCCACTCCAGGAAAGAATATTTCCCCAGATCTGCAGGAGGACTTCCTCTCCTACATACTGAGGGGTCATTGGGATGGTTTATAAATACCTTGTTCAAGCCAGCAGATACACTGACAGGTTTGCACAATGGTAACATTTGGGCCATTCAACTATCTACTTAAAAGCCTGGTCATCCTTACTAAATCTTCTGCAGAATATTAAAAAAATAATATTTTACCAAAAGCAATCTCTCAAAAAGCTTAAACATGTTAAAATACAGATTTTTGGTTATCTGTTGTGAATACAGAGGTATAAATGCAGTTTTAGATCCACCTACTGGCACAATTCTTCCTACCCCAATAGACCTTAACATCATGTGTCAATTTTAACTCTGCTATAACCAGTCCATTAGTCTCCCCCCACGCGCTTCATTTATGGATGCCACATCAGCTTCACATTTATTGGTCAGATGTCTTCTAACCAGGGTGGTGTGTGTGTAGCAAAAAAAAAAAAAGCCAACTCCAGCTTTAAGCTAACTCTCTAGATGAGACACCTCATCTGGAGACTCATTATTACAAGGCTGAGTCCTTTTATGTCAGGATTTTTTTTTCCCCCAAAACACCTGAGCTTTCTACTTGGTGCAAGGATCTCACCTGAGAGTCACGTACAAGCTGGCTTCTATATCATACTAGATCTAACAAACCAAACGTTCTGATTTGTACTGAGTGCTCTTATGGGGCTTCCTCACTCGTCAGTGTATTACCTGGTGACTTTAAAGCATCAGCTGGAAGCCAGTACATTATCTCCATGGGGTTGAGCACAACTCCCATTAATGTAATAGCCTCTATGTAATATTAATGCCTTCTTCATTAATCATTTGCACATATTAACTTTCAGAATGGAGTTGTCTTTGATTACTATGACTTCTTGAATTCAATCTTTTTTGTCTTTTCCAACACCTCAAACTAAAAGAAGTCATTCTTTGACAAGAGCCATCTGTCAGTAATGATTAAGTTTCTTGCAAAATATATCTGGTACAGGAGTATGTTTTGCTTGAATCTAATACGTTTAATGTAACATCTGTCACTGGTGTTGAGGACATAAGAGAAGACAATGATTAACTTCAATAATTGGCTCTCCTATCCCAGAACACATAAGGATACCACCAAAATAGTTCAGATGCCTCTGACACATCAAGTGAATTTACTGATGTTTTCATAACTTAACAACAACATTTCAGCACAAACTTTCATGTTTGTTTTTAAGTGCACAGCAACAAGGTCAGATTTGTGATTTAATCAATTAAAGTATGTATAAATGATTCATGGATAAATTATTCTAGACACACTCACTCAAGCTAACTCATTTGGGTTCCTCTATCTTGATTCTTAAACCACCATATTTTATTTCTGATTTAACAGGATCAACAGTTTAGACCCAAATCAACAAACCATTAGTTGTGGCAGGAACTTGTATATAGTCAAAAGTCTGTAGTAAATGAGAAAACCAAACCCATGTTCTCCTTGGTCCCAGACAAGGGTATTAATCACTTACTGCAATTCTGTCCTACACAAGGCACATGTAGTGAACTGTCAGAGCAGAATCTGTTTTATCTCTACGTAGTTGCTTAAATCTTACAAGACAAATATTAAATGGGATCGGAATAAGGTAAATAAAGTTGACGCTATCAGCAGAAAGAGTCTTTCAATCTGCCCAAGGTAAAGATGTACACGAAAAAGATCCATGGTCTGAATCAAACTACTCTTATGTACTAATTCAACTACAAAAGCTTTGGGACAATAAGACTGAGCAAGCAGGCCGACAGCGGGAACTACGTTAGGAGCTTTAACAACAGTTTCTTTTTAAATGTCTTTCCAGGATAGTCAAAATGTGAGAAGAGTTGCTTGGTTCGGGCATAACTAGTCTCACCTAGAACTTCACCCAGGAGGAACAGAGCCAAGTAACCCACTTAGTGACGCTCCTTCTTCCTAAAAAACCCAACTGAGACAAGCAATTCCATTTCAAAGCTCAGCACGCACAAACCAACCAAGGCAAGAAAACTACAGGCTACCCATAAACTTCCAGACGTTTTCACGCCTTTAGCCGTAAGAAACATCACCCTGCCATTCCTCTACCACGGCGCGGCCCCGGCCCGGCCCGGCCGTGGTTCGGTGGCGGCCGGATGAGCGCACCGCGAGTGGCAGAAGCCTGGGAGGCTCCTCGTCTCGCTTCTGGCTTTTGTGGTGGTAGGGAGAGATTTGTGGGCCGGGGAAGAGGCGGTTTGGCGTCGCGCGGGGGCTGGGCAAAGCGAAATCAGCAGGTGGCCGGGGCCGCGCCGTGGTAGAGGAATGGCAGGGTGATGTTTCTTACGGCTAAAGGCGTGAAAACGTCTGGAAGTTTATGGGTAGCCTGTAGTTTTCTTGCCTTGGTTGGTTTGTGCGTGCTGAGCTTTGAAATGGAATTGCTTGTCTCAGTTGGGTTTTTTAGGAAGAAGGAGCGTCACTAAGTGGGTTACTTGGCTCTGTTCCTCCTGGGTGAAGTTCTAGGTGAGACTAGTTATGCCCGAACCAAGCAACTCTTCTCACATTTTGACTATCCTGGAA